TCTAACTCCCCTTAACAAAGAAAATTTCGACAGCGCTTTCTATAGAAAGAGTACCTTCGCATAATTTATAATACCTCAAATATGAAAACAAAAACAATCTCTGACTCAGCAAAGTCAAAATTTGTTTAACTCCCTCAATTAGTAAAAAGTTGGGCAGCACTTCCTTTAGAAAGGTAGACTTCCCATATTTATACTAAGTCAGATATGAACTCAACAACAAGATATGAGTTCAACAAAGACAAAATTTAATGAACTCCTTAGATTTGTAGAAATTTCGGCAGCGGTTCCCGTTAGGAAAGTGTTATTCCAATATTTATACAAAGCTAAGTTCAGAATCTAAAATGACTTTGACTTCTCAAGGTTTTATTTTGTCCAACTCCCTGAATTAGCAAAATTTTGGGCAGCACTCCCTTTAGAAAAGGAGGTTTTCCAGATTTTTACTTAGCCAAAAAGTAAGAAAACCTGGACCCTGAAAAACACAAAGTCTGACTAACTCCTTGGTTTTGAAAAAATTTCAGCAACGCTTCCCGTAGAGAAAGTAGCCTGAAAAAAACAAAGTCTGACTAACTCCTTGGTTTTGTAGAAATTTCGGCAGCGCATCGCGTAGAGAAAGTAGCTAGCCAAGATTTATACAAAACCAAGTATATAAAAAAAATGATCCAAAAAAATGCGAGAATTGACCTAAGCAAAAAAAGTTAACTCAAAAAATGCAGGAATTGAAACTAACTACTATCGCTCTTGCACGTGGCGAGCAGCTAAAGCAACTACCTATCAAACTGAAAATCAACCTAGGTAGTCATCTCACTCAGTCACATGCAGGCCAAACCACAAAGGTAAGTTCTCTCACCAACCCCAAGTCATTTCATATAAGATAGTTCATGAAACCCTCAGATGATTCAATCTTTATACCCAACTTACATATGGCACAATGCTAGATCATTCTGCTTCGAAACAATGTCCAACGTGCCCTAAGATATACACGAACAGGTTGCACTACTACTTTTCTCTTCTTTGGGCATATGACTAGACCATTCGGCTTGGAAACAATGTCTAGCCGCCCTAAACTGTTTAATATCCAAAATTTAATAGCTCTCTGACTTTGTTCTCAAAAGAAATGCAAATTTGGGCAGGGGACTGAACCATTCGGCTTGGAAACAATGTTCAACTTGCCTAGACTACTTCCAATTATACTCTGTAATTTCCCTTCTCTTCTTAGCGATATGGCTTAGTGCTGGACCATTCGGCTTGGAAACAATGTCCATCTGCCAGTTCACATGCAAATATAAGTAGAATTCTTTCTTTTATACTCAGTTTATACTTATGTGCGTGGTTTTCAGGCTAAACCATTCAGATTAGAAACACTGCTCAACCTTAGACCAAAATCCTCCCTCAGAATAAAACAAGAACTTAAACACTTCAAAACAGGCAACCCTCAAAAATTCAACACAGCGACCAGGCCATTCAGCTTACAAAAAATGTCTGACCCTTCAGAAAACAGCCAAATAAACGTAGCCCTGGAGCTTAGAAACAATGCCCAGTCCTTGGTTGACCCGGTCAAACACATGCAAAATTGCCTTCCTCCCACCTTCCCCCAGTTCACCCCCCTTTGTTTGTTTTCAATCAAAATAAAAATAAAACTTATGCTTCACTCTCACACATTCCTTTCATTAAGTCTGATTAGGTCCTGAAAGAAAGCAAAGTCATAGGGGCAATCTCATGCATATATCAGTCAAACTAAAAGGAGATAGGCAAACATTAGTATTGTGGGGTCATATAGGCAAAAAATTGGATACTTGATGGTTCCCTGCCTCCAGAACCTTGCCTAGGTTCCGGCATAGCTTCCGCAATCGGTGGGTGGACTCCCCACAGAGTCTTGCTGCTGTCCTATGGGTTGCAATCCCGCCTGCCGCCTTCCTCTCTTAACCAAGGACTAGACTGAGAGTTAAAAAGGCAAAAGGAGATAGGTTGAGACTCTCAGATACAAGGATGGTGCGCTCGGACTCGCGAGAGAGGGCCTTGGTTCCTTAACTTCGCCTGAGGGCCCCACAGTGGCGGCCAAAATCGGGCAGCAACTTGGTCAACCTTAGTCAAACTTCCGGCTGTCGACTTCCTTACGGCCTTCCAAATTCGCTGCAACACTTCCTTTCCTCAAGCTGAGTTCCTCCTGCAAGGCTTGTGGTTTGAAATGCTCTGGTGACCACCTGAAATACAGATCGCGGGTCAAACGAAGGAAAACACAGTCTTCTCCTCCCCCAGCTTACCTTTTGCTCCGGTGGGATAGACAACGCTCGCCTAGTAGGTAAGTACACAGCCTTTACAACTGGTCTCACTCTCTCCTACCTCGGTGAGATGAGCAATGCGCTGATCAACAACTAAGTTTTGGCTCGCTCCTTACTCTTCCCATTAGAAGGGCGGGCCGTGCGTAGGCAATCAAGTGAGCCTTGCAATTCTCCCCGGCCACCTCTCCCGACAGAATAGACAATGCGACAGTCAACAAATGACTTCTTCACTCCTGCAGCTAGACTCGCACAACCACCCTGACCAACAAGGTGAGCATTACACCATCTGCGGGTAAGACTTCAAATCGCGACTTCCTGTAGCCCTCCGGTTCGCAAGGATGTGGAGCCTATCTTCCCGTTCTCAAGCACATAGGCAAACTGCTTGCCTCATAGATGCTTCAGTCGGACGGGAGAGCAACACGCCATCCAACAGGTAAGTCTTCAGCATCGCGGCTAGCCTCACGCTACTTTCATTGATCGGGTGAGCAACCAAACAGATCTTCCGCTTATAATCTTGGATTATGCTCCGCAGGTAAGAACTCTACTTCCTCTCCCTGCTGTCTTTCTCTCTCCTCATACACTGTCTTTGCGCTCGCTTCCACTCAAGCGGCTCACGGCCCCTTGGCTGAGCGAATGCACTTGGTCGAGAATACGACCAAGTTCCGATCAGCGGAAGAACTACCTTGCTCGAACGGTGACCAAGCTCGATGACAAAGAGGAAGGCTGTAGCGATCCCGACGAGAACAAGATCTGCAATCCGACTTACTGCACTTGTAAAACGAGCACGAACCTTCCACTAGAACGCAGAAAGATACATGCGTTCTAGTCGTTCTTCCTACGTGCGCCCCCTACTAGTCCGATTGCAGAATGCGTTATCTATTCACCAATCCGAGTTTTCCATCGGATGCGTGATGCCGGAGACCTCCAATCTCTCTTCTTCTTCTACTCAAGTTCGTTGACGGCGTGAGCTTACTCATCCTTCGATTTCTGCCATCCTCTCTTCCGAAAACTTCCGCGCACTTCGTTTTTCCACCACCACCTATTCTAATATTTATCGCTTCAACTAACAACAATTCTGGACTAGCCTTCATTCAAAACCCCGATTCGGACCCTTTCCTTGCCGGAATCGACCGAGAGATGGCCGAACTAACATAATCTTTTTCCTATTCACCTTCTCTCCACCATGGCCCGACACTCCCTCTTTCTCATCTATCTCTCTCTCAACTGAACAAACCTCCCAGATGGGCTCGCCGTGGTTGATAACCCCGAGATCAGCTTCTCCTCCGCCTGACTCTGTTAGGAATCGCGCGAACCCTACTTTCTTCGTTTCGCCTCGTTTAGCTTTCGCCATCTCCTTCATCCCCTCGCTGCCAAGCACTTTTTAGCACAACTTTCCTTCAGCGCATAATACCCCTGCGCCAGATTCTATTGAATCCAAAAGACGATGGTAGTAAAAAAAAACAAAGCAGTCAACCATTTTCTTCCCGATTTATGCGTGTCATCCTTGCGCAGGGGCCATGCAAATCTTCTCTGTATCGTTCCAATCTTAACGGATGTCCTAAAGAACTTAGCGCCAACTCGTAGCCCTGGTTTTTTCCTTCGAAGAAAAAGCACCGAGGAAAACCGGCTACTAGACTGTTCGATTAGTCTTTCACCCCTATACCCGAGTCCGACGACTGTCCCCTATGCATCCGCAGTGCAGCAACCTCCCCCTAGACTCCCTCTGTCCCGCCCCGCCTTTCGGGGCCCCAACGGGCATACACCTGCTTACATCTCCCGAGGCAGATTGCGGGATCAAGGTGCGGCTCCGTTGCCGTGGTTGAAGCATGGGCTCAGGTGGGGCGACCTTAGTGCAGACCTTGGCGATAGCAGCAAAAAGTAATCTGAGAACTCTGGAGACTGGGGCGAGGGAAAATTCCATGTGGCTGGCCTGCTGTACGCAGCCTGAGGCCTTCGCCACTGTGTCCTGGACTATTCCGCCCAGGCACAACTCCCCTTCTGTTGGGCCCCAAAGAGCTTGCTTACGCTCCACCCCCACTTAGCAGCCTGCGGGGAACATAATGTAGGGGGACTACGCCAATCTGGTTCTTTCTCCTTTGTGGCTAAATCACTCCCAACTCATATGCACATTACGGATTCAGGGGGCGAGGGCCCACTGCAAGCCCGCCGCGCTGCCTTTGGTGCCGATTTCGATGACAGTAGCAAATTTTGGAGGTAGGGACTTCAAGGCCCGCCATGGGAACGACTCTACCAGGCTGACCACGGTATTTGACACGCTCATTGACCATTATCGATCCCGATACCGCCCTCGCCCAGCTTTGAAAGAGATAACAAGGATAGCAATAATAATAATAATAATAACAGAACAATTACTGCGAAACAAAAGTCGCACGACAATAGGAAGGAAAACGCGGGGCTCATTAATACCGCCTTTGGCCCCGACACCCAACTTTGTAACCCACAAACCCACGGGGATAGCCTCGTCGGGCCCTTAACCCATCGGTTTTCCTCTCGCCGCTCCAATATTCCCGTGTCGTCGCCCGCTGGCCTCGATTCCCTGAATTCCCCGGATGAAAGTTCGACGTCGTAATCAATAGTGTTAGGCCCAAGGTTGGGTCTAGTATTAGCGGACACCTAGATTAAAGGATACTATGCGACATGCAGTTCTACCGAAACGTTTCAATTCCTCAGACCGGCCTATCAGAACTCACGGCCACCAACCTTCCGCGTCCACCGCGCGACTATACCGAACCATGTCGCCGTCGATGTCGTCCTTCGCACGTACTCACAAGCCACAAGCAAGCGCACCAATCGCAAGACAACCTTTGAAGTCCTAGTTTAATCAGAAAAAATTAAATATGACCAGCGATCACGCCGGTCCTACAGTTATCAAAAATAAAGATCACTCGGGCCTCTAAACTGCGCGCCCACACACTCTCTATTCTAGCCAGCCACCTAGTCACGTAAAGCACAGCCTCAGCTGCGCCTCACGCGATATACTAAAACTTTAAACCAAACTTATTTTCTGTCGCTTGCAAAAAACCAGGGCGGATACCCGTGTAAGGTTATTCGCACGGACAACTTACCGGACCATATTAAGCGACGTCCCCGTCGCATCGCCAAATCAGAAAGCTATCAGCTCATTCATAATCCAAAATGCTGACGAGAAAGAAACCAATCCGAATAGTCGACAGACTTCGGTTTGAGGCGTCCATCAATCCGTGTCAAAACACAACTTTATGCTGTCAGGATTCCAACCTGGTTTTCCATTGTCATGACACTAGGACCGTGGGATACTCATCACTATACTACAGCACAAGTCTTAATGGATTCCTCAACTGTCCTCTCCCCTTTGTTCTAGACAAACGTCGGCTTCTCGGTAGGTGTCCTAAGTCTCTACCCTGCTTGCAGGGCCATAACTAGGAACGCGGGCCCTAACCGAGACCTTCGAAGGCATTCTCGCCTCCCTCCCAACAATTCTCACAGCCAAACAAAATATATATACATAAATCTTATCTCTTCCTGCAATCTAGTACAGGAAGGTCAGGTCTCCATCTTGGCCCAACATAGTCTGGGTGATCAAGCCTGATCTACGGCCCACCGCGTTGTTATTTTACCGGTAGTGCCCTCGCAGGTTGCGCCATGATAGGCTTTCTCCTGATAAGCATTCAATCAGGACTCAAAAGACTCATTTGACTCAGCCCTTATCCCACATCGTTCCGCAGAAGTAAAACCCTCATAGGCTTCCACACCCTTTAAGTCTTTACTCCCTTGGTAAGACGCAGGCCCGCTGGTCAGGTTACGCCGATCAACAACCAACACTAGGAGTTACGTCCTAGTGATGCCAGTTATACCCCTAGTTGGGTCTCTCTTAAATGCCCAAGATTAACACAAATGGTTGGCGGTGTGTCGCAACAATATAGGCCTATTGCGGGACTACGCAAAGGTCTATCACACATAAAAGGTATTTACCAGTCCTCTGTGGGACAACACAAAGAAACACGGCAACCTCTCCACAATCACAAAACAGAATCACCGCCAGATTCACAAGGCCGTGACCTCCCAACTTGATCAGAGTCATAAAGTCACATATCTCGATGACATCTCCCAAAAAAATGAACCATTTTGCGACATCGAAAAATTCCTCCAATGACCAAACAAAAACTTGGTTCTTCTTGTCTGTCTTTATTATTCAGAATCTGCTTTCCATGCCATTTAAATCTATTAACCACCTTTCATAAGAAGGAGGCCCCACTTCATAGGTCTCCCAGTCATCCCTCTCTCTAGGATGAACTTTCACACTGCCCTTTTTTTTTTAAACATCTTCCCTCTCTGAAGATGAGTCTCCAAATAAATAAAAGACTGTCTTCCTACTCAAAGGCGTCTCCACCATAAAACAACTCAAACTGAGGGACCAACTTATGGGTCTTCATCACAACTCAATAATAAACATTCGGCATGGTAAAGCGTTCAAGTTTCAAAGACTCTTAAATCCTTTTGGATTCCCAAACTCTTTCACGAAACAAATTGCACTCCCTCTTCTTATACCCGGCCGTATCACCCGCCCGTGGGCAAATCGCACGAGTATACCGAAGAGTAGACAGTTGACATCCATTCATATTCGCGAAATACACAATAAAAGTACGAGATGTTTCTCATGCACCTCTCACACAAAACCACCATACATCAAGACAAAACCACACATGTGAGAGCGAGAGTGATCGTCATATATAAGAGATGGTCTCAACAATCCTTCCTCGATATACACTTAGGGATGAGATATCTCATCCAGAAATACTAGTAGTAATCCAAATTCATGATTCACTCAACTCAAACAAAATCAATCTCATACTGATGCAACCCTCAAACATAAACTGAGTCTGTCTCTCAAGAATCAGGGAACAGGCTACCTAGATATATACATGCCTTATTTACTGCGTCTTGATCCTTATAACACTAAGAACAACCCCATCGTAGATGCAAAAACTCCAAATCTGAAAACTATTAACAAAAAGCAGCACAATCCCCTAAGTCTAAAGAGTACATCCTAATTCTAGATTCAAATCCTCAGAGTGATATGACAGTCATATAGGTAGACCAGTCCCTACTCACTCATCTTCTCCTCGTTTTGTCTATAAAACTGAGCTCTACCCCCATCTGCAGATCTCTCTACCACTCGACCCTGTCTATCATACATCTTTCCAGCACTCTCTGAGACCTTCCCTTCCGCCTTGTCCTCGAGGAACTTAGGACATTCGAAGGCCCAATGTACGCCATCCTTGCAAAAGAAGCAGAGTTGATCAACCTTCCTCTTGAACTTCTTCTTTCTTGGCCGTCGTGGCGACGATGATGGGGATCCAACCACAGCACTGGCAACCTCCTGCTGCTTTGAATTAGAGGCCTTATCCCGAGAACCAGATCCGGTAGCCCAAGATCCCAGTCTACTCCTCAGATCACCCACCTCTGGAATGTACTCAGGCGTATCCAATCTCTGCGGCATGCTCTCCCGCGTCTCTCCTGATACCACCGCCGGCAGGTCCTCGCCTACAATCTCAGTGCCCAACTCGGGCATAGGTGTGCTTGCTTCCTCCTGCATAGTGTCAAGCGCCTCTAGAAGCACACCCATGGACCCCTCCATTGATCCCTGTGCTAGCTCACTAGCGGCTCCATGTGGTCCCTCTTTGCCTGGCATTGGCGAGGATGTCGGCATGACTCCCAAAAACTCCACTGGTAGGGTTGCAAACTCCGTCGGGGCCTTGAACACGAAGGCTTCCTTCTCCACTTCCCTTTTTGCCTTAGCCTCTTCTGGTTCCAGGATGACCTTTCCAAGGGACGGCCCCTGGGAAGGTCATGCCTCAGATGGCTGCCCAGATCCTTGAGCCACCTGTTCCGAACGTCGTATCGAGCCCCTTTCGTCTGGTCCACTGCCCTCATGGGTGCCCGCCTCTTCTTGCTTTCCTCCAACAGGTCCTGAATGATGGCGGCCTGACCAGTTACTAATGTCCTGAGTTCTTGGATCTCTGCCTCCAATGCTTCAAGGCGTACCCCATGACTTTCTTCCTTTATCTTCTTTCCTGCCAGATCACCCTCCAACATCAAATATATATTGAAGTTCGTCCTGGCTAGAAACCGGATTCTGCGATCCAGACTCTCCTCCGCCTGCCTGGCTATCCCGAAACCAGCTCTCGTCGGCGAAGTGAGTCCTTCAGCCCTCTGCTCCTAAAACTCTCTCCACATGTTTGAAATTCCAGGGGCTTTGGCCGGTACGCTGGGCGGTTGGTCCGAAAGTGCCCCTACTGCCTCCAACCTTTGCCTCTCCTGCCATATCTCCTCCAAACGTTTGCCTGTCCTGACCCTCTTCTCCTCAACCGTTTCCCTCGGATGTGCTCTCCCTCCTACAGGGCGGATGTCATCCAATGGGGCCTCAGGTTGTACTTCCATTTATAGGGGATGGGGTTCTTGCAATGGCTCCTCCACTGGAGCCCCACCTAGATCAAGGTGCTCCTCAGCATGCGCTGCCAAATATTTGTCCACTATAGAGACTACCTCCCTCCTCCAATCTGTCTCCTCCAGCTCTGTCTCTACTCTCACCTCTGACGATCGAATCGTATCTGGGGTTGGTGGTGGTGTCTCTCCCCGCTGAGGCTCCCCTCCCCCTTTCTGAACATCCATCGGCTCGGCCTCCATTTTTGGAGCAGAGGCTAACTGTTGTGGAGGAGTATCCTCTCCTATCTCGATCACCTCCCCTGCTTGCTGCTCACTCCGGGTGCAGGGCCCGACTTCCTGACCTCCACTGGTCTGGGGCACCTTCCACTGCGAGGCGTCCAAGTGCGCCTCCAAGCTCTGTAGAGAATCCTCTGTCGGCACAACCTCCTCTGACACCTGTTGTGGAGGCTCCCGTAACCTCCCTTCAGTGAAAGGCTGAAAAGCCACTGGTCCCAGTCCACAATCCGGATACATGCCTGGCTCCTTTGCAGGTTGGGCGGGCTCCTTGTCTCGCCGTGTCAGTGCCTTCCGTCCTCCTCGACTAGGGGCGGCTTCCCTAGGCTCACGTTCCCTTTGCCGCTTACTTTTCTGCCGCCTCTCAACCCTAGGTTGTGGTAGTACTGGCTCTGGCCTCCGAAAGGCCTCCCTCAAGTGCGCCCTACAACCTTCCTAGTCTCACGCCCTATCCCGGATCTCTCGGGCCAATGGTCTCTCTGCTCTCCTCGTCCATAGTGGAAACGTTTGCATCCATTGGTCCCTCAGGATACCTTGCTCGTGCAAAAATCGCTCAAAAGTCGGGATAAACTCCTCCACATTCCCAATCTGGAGACGGATCGGCTCCCCGTCTACCCCTTCCGGTGAAGGCCTCAGTCTTTGCATCGCCAACTCTACTTCCTGCCAAGTCCTCGCCTCCTCACAGATCCGCGCAATGGGCTCTGACAAGTGTCCCGCTCCCCTCAACCTTTCAATCATGCGAGTTACAGTCCATCTCCTGCGACTCGCATAACTCCTGAAATTGTCCAGAAATAGCTCTATCTCCCCATTGTCGCGTATTGGTGTATGCTCCCTCTGGTAAGATCCATGCCGCTCATGTCCCCCTAATGCCCCCGATGGTCTCCTCGATGGCCGCATCTCCCTCCCTCCTCTTGGCATGGCTGTCTTCGCAAAGTCAGATCTGCACAACAGGCGAAATGAGACGATGGGCACACAAAGGAGTAAGCATACAGGTGGGGCATAGCAGGCTCAGGTCAAACCATACATACACAGCCAAACTCCATCCCTAACTCTTTTATCGTATCTAACAACCTTCGCACTCTTCCTATTAACTACATACTACGATGGGGTTTTTAGGACCCTTATCTCACCTCTTCTCTGGCTACGAACTTCTTGAGTCGAGTCCCTGACACCCAATCCTTCCACTCTGTCCCATCCAACTCTTCAATCTGGTAAGCGCTAAACTCTCCACATCGCATGATCCGATAGGGCCCCAACCATTTTTTATCAAGCTTTCTGGACCACTGCTTTTTCAGCGATGAGTCGTACTACAACACGACGTCCCCCACCCTCAAAGGCATCTTCCGCATGCGCGTCGCTTGGTCCCAACGAACCTTATCATCCATACGACTCCTTTCCACTTGACTCGATGCCTCTTGAATCTTTCCTCAATTGCCCCCACCTGTCGGGCCCGAATGTCAAGCAACTCTTCAAAAGACAAGTTGGTCTCTAGGTCCTGGCGCCTCCAGGTTTTCAGGAAGCTCTGAATTGGGAACGTAGCATGCCTTCCATACCATAGCATAGTTGGCGCATGCTTAGTGGTCCTCTTCACCATGACATTCTCGACGAAGAACGTCGCTCTCAGGTACCTTGGCCACTGATTAGGCGAACCTTCAGTCCACTTAGCCAGAAGGTTCGTAATGGTGCTATGCCCTCTTTCAACCGGAGCGTTTGCTTGTGGGTGGGCAACCGTAGTATAGTTGGCCACCACACCATACCCTTCCAATAATCCTGCACCTCCTGGCAAGTAAACTCTGATCCCCTGTCCATCACGAACTCTCGGACGAAAGCATAACGTAGGTAGTATTCTTCGATGCAACTTACGGGGACCAGATCGGTCTTTCTACGACTGGTCCGACCATCCACAAAGCCAGTAAGGTTATCTCGTGCATCGAAGATGTAGTTGTAGCCATGATCCCCGATCGGCATGAATAGCAAGTACAGATGTACCACGGCCCCTACTTCCTTCTCCAATCTCGGATGCAAAAGTTCTTCAGACCTTAAGGGAGACCTCTCCTGACAGGGTACGCAGGATCGACAATACTTGACCACCATTTCCATCATTCCATCCCAGTAATACAGCTCGCTTATCTTGATATATGTGGCATTGACCTCTCGATGCCCTCCTGTAATGCCATCGTGAAGCGCAACTATCACGTCTATCTGGCGATTTCTTCCACACATGAGCCTTCTTGGGTTCCCCACTTGCCTCTTTACAAAGAAATGACCATCTCTCACTAGATAGAGGTGCTTCATCCTCTGGGCTATTTCACTTGCATCCCTAGTTCTTATCTCGCATGATAGCAGAAGCCCTAGTTCCAGGTAAATTCCATCATACTCCTTTGCACGGAAGGCCTCTTTGATCTCTCCTTCTTCAAACTCGTCATCCTGGCTTTTTGGCACAACATCTTCTCCTTCAGTCAGATTTAATGAGCCTATCGGATCAGAGGTTTCCTGCAGAAGTGTATTGACGAGGAGGTACATTCCTCCCATCAGCTCCTCGTGCCTCTTTACCTGGTCTGGACCTTCCTCTATCGTCCTTATCTCTTCCACCAGACTATGCTTGCCAACGAGCGCCAACTTCATCATCCATTGGACATCCTTGCCACCCCAGGGATCCTCTTCAAAAGGCTTGAGCACCAATTCTACCTTTTGCTCATACCCCTTTGACGCATGCCAGATGGGATGACCAACGCAACTAGGCACTCGTGGGGACCACTCATTAATATGAAGGATGTCCTCCTCCTGATCCAAGAAGCCATCAACTGGGGGCATATCCTCTATCGCCCCCCCTTCCTGCTTATCCCAGTTGATGCGACTTAGCCCGTCTGCTCTATTCTTACTCCTAGGGATCCGCTCCAACTCAAAGTTGAACATCCAGATGTACGTTAGCCATTTGGCAACCGTTGGATTTGATGGAACGTAGTTCCTTAGGGAAAAGGCTAAAGCCGTCGGATCCACCCTCAATATGAATCTTCTGCCAAAGATGTAATTTCGAAAAATCCGTAGGCAGTGAAGGACAGCGAGAGTCTCCCTCTTGAACTGAGAGTAATTTCTCTCTGTCGTACGCAGAGTTCGGCTCTCAAAGCGCAATGGTCTCTCCTTTCCTTCAATATCTGCCTGGATCAAAACTCCGCCAAAAGCAGTTGGTCCAGCATCCGTCTCAACAATGAATGGCCTTACCTCCGTAGCGTCACAGTCCGACGCCCCTAATACCAGTCCTCCTTCCCGAAACTCCTCCTTCATTCTTGCCACCGCATTCTCCTAATCTTCACCCCAGATCCATTCCTGATTCTGACGTACCAACTTCCTCAAATGCTCTGTCTTGACAACAAAATTTTTGTAATCCACATGTGCCGAGGAAGCTCCTGACATCTGTTATCGAATGGAATGGTACTGGTCATTCAATAATCTTGTCCGTCTTCTTAGCATCTGGCCGTCGGCCACTCTCACTACAGATGGATCCCAAGATGGTAGCTTCCCTCGTGCAATGTCTAGATTTGGCTCCACTTGCCGTAAGGTTATGTTTTTCAAGCAAATTCAGGACTTTATTAAGGTCCTGAATATGCTTTCAGACAAAACACCTTACTCCTGGCAATACTTCATCGTCCTGTCTCCTTCTTGGTCCCTTTACTGCCAAGTCGTCGATATATGGCTGCGTAATATGCGGACTAGTTGTTTGCATGGCTCGAATCATATGCCTCTGAACCATCGCCACAGCATTCGTCCACCCTTTTGGAGCCACGTTAATATGGATAAGCCCTCGAGGCGTATGCATCGCTGTTACTGGTCTGTCTTGCGGATAGACCGAAAACTGGTCGTATCCGGAATCGAGGTCAATAAGTGAGATTATTGGCCTCCCAGCACATGATTCCGACAGCGCATCCGCATTCGGCAAGCCTCCTGCATCTCGCACACCGCATTCAGCCTTTGCAAATCTTGCACCCATCTCAATGTCCCATTAGGTTTGATAAAACAAAACCAAGGGGACGCGTATGGTCCTCTCGAATAACCGGCAACGTGTGTGCGTATCTTGCCATCGAGGTAATCTACCACCTTCTTCTCTTCGTCAGGATTAGGATATCGCGCCCCTCTCAAGTTCCATGGCTCATGCGGCACGGTATGGATGCGGATCATGGGAATCTTGTCCACATCCAACCTGTCACGCTGCTGATCTCTAAACGCATAGGCGCGATGCGTTCTCTTCATTCATTCTATCATTAGCACTCTTTCCTGGGGCAGTAGGAAGTCAGGCTCTCCTACAATCAACTTCCCTTTGTTCCCCTCGTTAATACGGCATGACCCTACTGAGGCTCCCTCCTTCATCTCTCGTATCAAACCTCGTTCCCGCTCATAATGTACCTCCTCATCTTCAGTAATGAAAACGGGAACTGGGTGGCACTTTTTATCTATCGTTTTGTACCGCCTTTGGGAACCCTGCTTGAGTCGTTCCCTAAAAAAGGCCGACTAACCGTCTGCGCCTGCGTCATAGTAGAGTCCTTTCTTCCCCTTGGAAGTCGGTTCCCCTGCTTGGGGACATTCCAGGATTTGTTCCCTCAACGCCTGAATGGCGTCTGGATCCGCCATTTCGTGCGTGGCCACTATATCCATGGCCTTGTTCACATCAGATACGCTGAGTGAAAACGCTTCCTCCCTTACCTCTCCCTCAGGCTCCGCCAGGAGTCTCCGACGCTCGTCCTCTGACTCCTCAATAGTGAAGGAACCAAGGTTGAGCCTATTCCTTATGCTTTGTGGTCCAGTGTTTCAGCAGGTGATTATCTCGTAATTCACACACGCTGGATCACATAGAATCAGGATCAGTGTCCCATCATGTTTGTTGAACATCAGGGTCTTCGTCCTGCATAGGAACGACCTCCCCAGGAGGATGGCATGGTCCACATCCGGCATAACGAAAAAGCACGTCCCGACCTTTACCCACCCAATCTCTATAAGCACGTTCGAGGTCGCCCCGCAGAATACAACCTTGCAGTTTACCCCGTGCAAAATGCCCCAATCTGAGCGGTCAATCTCCAGCCCAAACCTTCGTGCGTCAGCCTCCTTGATGATGTTCATTTCGGCACCTGTGTCCACCATGGCTGCGCACTTCATTCCCTTCACCACCAAATCCACCATTCCATAGGCCACACATTTCCAGTCCATTTTTGTCCCCGGCTCCGCCCACTCTCCCTCCTTTGGCAGGATCACACTGAGATGGACACTTGGTACCAAACGCCTCGAAAGCCTGCCCTTCAGCTCATTACGGAGCCTTGGGGCAGATGTCAGGATTTCCTTTAGGGTCATAAGGTCATTATGGCCCTCAATCAGTTTGTCAATCACTCTCTATACGCCTAACCCTTCTTCAAGCCGAATTGCATACTTCTTCTTTGGCGTTATATCGCGCAAAACCGGCTCGGCTTCTTCCTGGGATCCCCTTTTCCTTGCCCTTTGTTCGGCCCTCCTGTCTTCCTCTTGTCGAAGCCTTTCATCCTCCTCATCTTCATCATCGTCATCCTCTACTTCCACAGGCTCCTTTCTGCGTTCTGGCTCTGGCTCTTTCTGAGGCTGGTCCTGGCTCCGTCCCTGCCCTTGTCCCCTAGTCCGTGCGGCCAATGCAGCTTGTGCCAATGGAGTAGGGGGTCTGTGGGTCATCCCAGACCTTGGCCCTGAACTCACCGTCACCGTGGTAACTCCAGGGTACCCTTGCTTCCCTGGCATAGATTCAGGACCCGAATCATAAAGGAAGACCTTGGGGATGCCGACTCTCCATTCCTCCACTTCTTTACATATATCTGCTATTTTTTGTCGGTACCGCCCCACCTTGTCACACAAATCTTCCATCTTTCCCAAAAGGACAGACGCTGGCTCCACCTTTTCACCCTCACCTTCATCGTCCGACTCGACGGCTATAGGTTCTTCCTTTATAGTCTCCGCCTGTAGTCTTTGAGTCACCTCCTCATCGCCTTCCATCTTTTCCACTCTTATCGGCGGGTCATCTCTCTCCTGCCACAATCTGAAAGTGGCAAGCGGTGCTTGCCGTCCCGCTATCCTCCTGAGAGCTTGTGCTCTCAACCCGCCTGGGACCTTCCTGTCAATATACTCCCCGATCTGATCGCATATATTTCAGTCCAGAGGACGCTCAATGTGCTATCTTTCTGGGACTGTTCACGACCTCTGGAGCCTTTGTGTTGGAAAAGGCAAGGAAGGTCCCTGGCGGGTGCGCCAGCCATACCTCTCGCGAGCCCCTACGATAGGATGGGCCTACGCCAGGCACGACTTACCTCCACCTTAAAGGAGTTGTCACCTCCCTTCGGTGGGCGTATCCCCGACGAGCTACCAATCCACAGTACGAAAGCTGATCAGTTGCAATCGCAGAGGTGGACCAGCCGAGGGGGTTTCTCATACGTTATACCATAAGGGGTATGCGCGACTTTACTCCTCTATCGGACCCGCACGCGAATCGACATCTGGGGGGGCCGAGATCCCTAGCGCGACTCGTCGCCGGTCAACTAGGACGCATCCCACACGCGATGCGCACACCACTCTAAAGAATATAATAATAAAAACATACACACATACATATACACGAAACGACACAAAACATACAACGCGACAACACTCCTAGTCCCTTAGCAGCCATCCCATAACTTTCCGATGCGAAAATCGGATAGCTATCGCGCGCGAGACTTTAGTACAAAACCGTGCGGACGCAAGGCTAAATCATATCGACTAGCAATGCATGAATACGCAAGCAGTCGCAATAATGACGTACTATGTAGTGCCCATAATCAAGCGGTCCTTCGTGGATCCGAGCACCACTTATGACACTCAAGTGTCACTCTCGAAGTATCGTGAGGGCCTACCCCCTCACGATATTGCACGGCTGAAGGAATAGCGGTGCGGCCGCCATGACACCTTCGGCCTTTAGGCTGAGTGTCTCCGTAGGCAGGGCAAATAGGCTCTGCGCAGGAGGAGATCCCTTCCATGCAGAGTCTAGGGCCTAGGATGTCCTGGACAAGGACCTCGAATCCAGGCCCAGGACCAACGTCCGACTAAGAAATCTTTAAGAATAATACACCACATAGAGGGGTTTTCTTCCCTTTCTCAATCTCAACCCGAATTCAACCCTTAAGTGTAGGCCCCTCAGGCCACGCGAATATCCAATATAGATACAATATAGATACATACATATATATATATGTAAAGAGGAATAAGTATGTGACGATCACTTTTCACAATCAAAGTGGGACTCCTCACAGCCATATGTATATGTGTGATCGGAGACAGTCAAATCCAAAATCAGAACCACAGTACATACCTGCAATCACATCAAAAAGTCACCCAAAAAAATCCAAGCACTACATAGAGTCAACTTCAACCAACCTCTATACTCATACCCCTCGCTTCAGCCATGCAAGCCCCAACCCTTGTCCAACCAACCATAATTAACTTTGTTAAAAAGCCATTCAATAAAAGTCCGGGTAAAACCTTAATGAAACAACAAAAATCATCAGGACTAAAACCTTTTTAGGTTAAGTATTGAGAATGAATTGGAGTTGAATCGTAGACCGACGAATCGACAACCGACCAGTTATCAGTGATAACAGAAGGTGATCCTCAAGGAACCTGCTGAACCTAATCCTGATCTCGAATCAAGCGATCCAAAGGACCTGTAACACAAGACAGGTCAATGTCCCAAGGTAAACCTATAAGTCCACGGAGAATAATCTCAATATCCCGATCTCACTAAAAAATCCTTCTACTTAACTAAATCTAAATTTACCCCTAAATCAGTGCCTAATGAAAAGGTAGACCACGGAGAATAATCTCAATATCCCGATCTCACTCAAAAATTTTTCTGCTTAACTAAATCTAAGGCTACCACTAAGTCAGTGTGTAATGAAAAGGTAGACCTTTGGTAGAATCTCCTCTATGCAGAGTGGATTGTCAGACCTGCCACCTATCAAAATATAATATAACTCCTATAAACTAAGAAAATTTCGGCCGCGCTTCCCATAGGAAGAGTGCCTTCGCATAATTTATAATACCTCAAAAATGAAAACAAAACCAATCTCTAGATCTGCAAAGTCAAAATTTGTCAAACTCCCTGAATTAGTAAAAATTTGGGCATCACTTCCTTTAGAAAGGTAGACTTCCCATATTTATACTAAGTCAGATATGAACTCATAAACAAGATCCGAGTTCAACTAAGACAAAATTTAATTCACTTCTTAGATTTGTAGAAATCTCGACAGCGCTTCCCGTAGAGAAAGTGTTATTCCAAGATTTATACAAAGCTAAGTTCAGAATCTAAAATGACTTTGACTTCTCAAGGTCTAATTTCGTCTAACTCCCTAGTTAGCAAAAATTTGGGCAGCACTCCCTTTAGAAAACGAGGTTTTTCATATTTTTACTAAGCCAAAATGTCAGAAAAGGTGGACCCTAAAAAAAAAGAAGTCTGACTAATTCCTTGTTTTCTTAGAAATTTCGGTAGCGCTTCCCGTAGAGAAAGTAGCTTGATCCAAAAAAATGTGAGAATTGACCTAAGCAAAAAAAGTTAACGTAGAAAATGCAGGAATTGAAATAAACTCCTATCGCTCTAGCACGTGGCGAGCAGTTAAAGCAACTACCTATCAAACTAAAACTCAAACTAGGAAGTCATCTCACTCAGTCACATGCAGGCCAAACCACAAAGATAAGTTCTTTCACCAACCCCAAGTCATTTCATATAAGATAGTTCATGAAACCCTCAGATGATTCAATCTTTATACCCAACTTACATATGGCACAATGCTAGATCATTCTGCTTCGAAACAATGTCCAACGTGCCTTAAGATATACACGAACAGGTTGCACTACTACTTTTCTCTTCTTTGGGCATATGACTAGACCATTCGGCTTGGAAACAATGTCTAGCCGCCCTGAACTGTTTAATATCCAAAATTTAATAGCTCTCTGACTTTGTTCTCAAACGAAATGCAAATATGGGCAGGGGACTGAACCATTCGGCTTGGAAACAATGTTCAACTTGCCTAGACTACTTCCAATTATACTCTGTAATTTCCCTTCTCTTCTTAGCGATATGGCTTAGTGCTGGACCATTCGGCTTGGAAACAATGTCCATCTGCCAGTTCACATGCAAATATAAGTAGAATTCTTTCTTTTATACTCAGTTTATACTTATGTGCGTGGTTTTCAGGCTAAACCATTCAGATTAGAAACACTGCTCAACCTTAGACCAAAATCCTCCCTCAGAATAAAGCAAGAACTTAAACACTTCAAATCAGGCAACCCTAAAAAATTAAACACAGCGTCCAGGCCATTCAGCTTAGAAACAATGCCTGACCCTTCAGAAAACAGCCAAATAAACATAGCCCTGGGCCATTCAGCTTAGAAACAATGCCCGGTCCTTGGTTGACCCGGTCAAACGCATGCAAAACTGCCTTCCTCCCACCTTCCTCCAGTTCACCCCCCTTTGTCTGCTTTCAATTAAAATAAAAATAAAACTTATGCTTCACTCTCACACATTCCTACCATTAAGTCTGATTAGGTCCTGAAAGAAAGCAAAGTCAAAGGGGCAATCTCATACAAATATCAGTCAAACTAAAAGGAGATAGGCAAACATGGGTATTGTGCAGTCATATAGGCAGAAAATTGGATACCTGATGGTTCCTTGCCTCCAAAACCTCGCCTTGGTTCCGGCAGAGCTCTCGCAATCGGTGGGTGGACTCCCCACAGAATCTTGCTACGATCCTACGGGTTGCAATCCCGCCTGCCGCCTTCCTCTCGTAACCAAGGACTAGACTGAGAGTTAGAAAGGCAGAAGGAGATAGGTTGAGACTCTCAAATACATGAATGATGCGCTCGGACTCGCGAGAGAGGGCCTTGGTTCCTTAACTTCGCCTGAGGGCCCCGCAATGGCAGCCAAGATCGGGCAGCAACTTGGTCAATCTTAGTCAAACTGCCGGCTGTCGACTTCCTGACGACCCTCCAAATTCGCAACAACACTTCCCTTCCTCAAGCCGAGTTCCTCCTGCAAGGCTTGTGGTCTGAAATTCTGTGGTCACCACCCGAAATACAGGCCGCAGGCCAAACGAAAGGAAAACACAGTCTTCTCCTCCCCCGGCTTACCTTTCGCTCCAGTGGGACAGGCAATGCTCGCCTAGTAGGTAAGTCGGCAGCCTCTACAACTGGTCTCACTCTCTCCTACCTCAGTGAGATGAGCAGTACGTTGATCAACAACTAAGTTTTAGCTCGCTCTGTACTCTTCCCTTTAGCAGGGGGGGTCGTGCGTTGGCAATCAAGTGAGCCTTGCAGTTCTCACCGGCCACCTCTCTTGGCAGAATAGACAATGCGAAAGTCAACAGATGACTCCTTCACTCCTGCGGCTAGACTCGCACAGCCACACTGACCAGCAAGGTGAGCATTACACTGTCTGTGGGTAAGACTTCAACTCGCGGCTTCCTGTAGCCCTCCGATTCACAAGGTTGTGGAGCCTACCTGCCCGTTCTCAAGCACGTCGGCAAACTGTTTTCCTCATCGATGCTTTAGTTGGTCGGGAGAACAGCACGCCATCCAACAGGTAAGTCTTCAACACAGTGGTTAGCCTCACGCTACTTTTCATCGATCAGATGAGCAAAACCAAACAGATCTTCCGCTTAAAATCCTGGATTATGCTCCGCACATAAGTACTATACTCCCTCTCCCCGCCCCCCTTATCTCTCCTCATACGCCGTCTTTGCGCTCGCTTCCACTCACGCGGCTCATGGCCCCTTGGCGGAGTGGATGCACTTTGCCATGAGTACGGCCTAGTTTCGGTCACCGGAAGAACTACATTGCCCGAACGGTGACCAAGCTCGAAGACAAAGAGGAAGGTTGTCGCGATCCAGACGCACGACAAGCCGACAAGAAACAAGACCTGCGATCCGACTTACTGCACTTGTAAAACGAGCACGAACCTTCCGCTGGAACGCGGAAAAATACATGACTTCTAGTCGTTCTTCCTACGTGCGGCCCATACTAGTCTGATTGCAGAATGCGTTTATCTATTCAGCAATCCGAGTTTTCCATTGGATGCGTGATGCCGGAAAAACCCCAATCGTTCTTCT